TTGCTGAGAGTTTTCCGGGCTGTATGGCCATGTTCCAGAAGCATTCTCTCCTGACGTTTCACCTACATCTATTGTAGGCATCCTCAGACATCACAACTTCTGAGGATGCCTGCCATAGATGTGGGCAAAACATCAGGAGAGAGTGCTTCTGGAACATGGCCATGCAACCTGGAAAACTCACAGCGACCCAGTGATTCTGGCCATGAAAGCCTTTGACATTACTTGGCCATGTTTGTTCTGGTTTTCTCCCCTGAAATGTTGAAAGGTTAGGCCCAACATTGTGAAATAATATGGGAAACCCCTATGTATTGCAGAGGAAATATAAAGGTAAGGTAAAGGTTTTCCCCTGATATTAAGTCCAGTCGAGTCCGACTCTGGAGGTTGGTGCTCATCTCCATTTCTAAGCCGAAGAGCTGCCATTGTCCATAGACACCTCCAAGGTCATGTGGCCAGCATGACTGCACTGAACATTGTTACCTTCCTGCTGGAGCCGTACCTATTGATCTACTCACATTTGCATGTTTTCGAACTGCTAGGTTGGCAGAAGCTGGAGCTAATAGCAGGACCTCACATTGCTCCCTGGATTTGAACCTGTGACCTTTCGGTCAGCAAGTTCAGCAGCTCAGCGCTTTAACCCACTGCGCCATTATAATATTATAATGCCGATCCAATTCCGAGCACAATTCAAAGTGCTGGTTTTGACCTACAAAACCCTATACGGTTCCGGCCCAGTGTATTTGTCCGAACGGATCTCCCTCTACGTCCCATCTCGAAACTTAAGATCTTCTGGGGAGGCCCTGCTCTCGACCCCGCCACTGTCACAAGTGAGGCTGGCGGGGACGAGGAGCAGGGCCTTCTCAGTGGTGGCCCCCCACCTGTGGAACTCACTCCCCGGGGAGATTAGATCGTCATCTTCCCTTTTGGCGTTTAGGAAAAAACTGAAGACCTGGATCTGGGATCAAGCCTTTGGTCATTCTGACAGCTAACTGAAGGATCTGATGATAGACAAGGACAAATGGAATGGAATGGATATATGGACTCTGAACCCTGAGCATGAGACTGTTTTATTATTTTATTATGTACTGATGTTTTTAATTAATTGTTGAATTGTTTGTATTTGTATTGCTTGTCAATTGATTTGGGCATCTAATTGTGCCCCCACTGTAAGCCGCCCTGAGTCCCCCCCGGGGTGAGAAGGGCGGGGTATAAGTAAAGGGAAATAAAATAAAATAAAAATAAATAATATAGGTAAAGGTTTTCCCCTGACATTAAGTCCAGTCGTGTCCGACTGTGAGGGTTGGTGCGCATCTCCATTTCTAAGCTGAAGAGCCAGCTTGTCCATAGACACCTCCAAGGTCATGTGGCTGGCATGACTGCATGGAGCACCGCTACCTTCCCGCCGGAGCGGTACCTATTGATCTACCTGTACCTTGGGAAGCCTGACTTGGCCACGGTGGTCCATGCTCTTATTACATCCCAGAAGCTGGGTGATGCTCATCTCCATTTCTAAGCCAAAAAGCCAGCATTGTCCATAGACACCTCCAAGGTCACGTGGCCAGCACAACTGCATGGAGCGCCATCACCTTTCCACAGAAGCTGGGTGATGCTTATCTCCATTTCTAAGCTGAAGAGCCGGTGTTGTCCATAGACACCTCCGAGGTCACGTGGCCAGCACAACTGCATGGAGCACCATCACCTTTCCACAGAAGCTGGGTGATTCTTATCTCAATTTCTAAGCTGAAGAGCCGGTGTTGTCCATAGACACCTCCAAGGTCATGTGGCCGGCATGACTGCATGGAGCGGCATCACCTTCCCACAGAAGCTGGGTGATGCTCATCTTCATTTCTAAGCTCAAGAGCCGGCGCTGTCCATAGACACCTGTGCCTTCTAGGTTGGCAGAAGCTGGGGCTAACAGCGGGAGCTCACCCCAGTCCCTGGTACCTTCTTGCTGGAGCGGTACCTATTCATCTACTCACATTATATGATAGGTTGGCAGAAGCTAGCCCCAGCAGAAGCTCACGCTGCTCCCCAAATTCGAACCTGCAACCTTGTATCTGATGGAAGGGGCCTGAGGGCAGGAATTGTGGGAGTTGAAGTCCAAAACACCTCGAGGGCCAAAGTTTGCCCATACCTGGTCTACACAGACCATATCTTGCAGTTCAAAGAGTGCAGATCCATCCGAAGACAAGGGGAGCGTGTTGATGTTGGATATATTCATAAAGTAAACAAGCTACAGTAAGGCCTTGGGGATAAAAGGACTCAGATTGCACCCAAGATGGAATTGTTTGCATTTTCAAATGCTGCCAGACCTTTTCAACCTGAGACAGTTTAGGCACACGGCAGGATTGAATCCAGCCCTAGGGACGGATGTTGCCTCTCCTTGTGTTTCGTCACGTGTTTCACGGAGGCACATGAACACCCAGGGAGAGGGAAGAAGGGGTGGCACAGGGACACGGGAGGTCTCAGGCCCCGCACAGATGGTCTAACCATGAGATGCAAGGGAAGAAAACAGAACAGACCTGCTTCACCCTTTCCAAAGGCACGGGGATGGAGATGAATTGCAAAATGCAACCCAGGTATAGTGTCACTCTAATGCAAGAGAAGGGAGCATCTTACCCAATTACATTTCCCTTCAGTCCCTTCATTTATAACACTCCAGAGAGTTGGATACTCAAAAAATTATTCATCGCCGGAACCATTATATTTGCATTTTCTTGATCATGTTGCCAGCCTTTTTCTCTGGATGTCTGAATTATATTTCCAAATGCTTGGCTCGAATTTTAAGTCACTGCAATGCTAAACATTTGGGAGACTGGGTTGCTGTGAGTTTTCCAGGCTGTATGGCCATGTTCCAGAAGCATTCCCTCCTGACGTTTCACCTGCATCTATAGCAGACATCCTCAGAGATTGTGAGTGTTGGAAACTAGGAAAATTGGGTTTATATATCTGTGGATGTCCAGGGTGGGAGAAATAAATCTTGTCTGCTCGAGGCAAGTGTGAATGTTGCAACTGACCAGCTTGATTAGCATTGAATAGCCTTGCAGCTTCAAAGCCTGGTTGCTGTTTGAGGTCGGTGTAAATGTTGCAATTTGGGGGACTGAAGGGACATTTCCCTGGGGAGGCAGAATTTTTTAAAATAATTTTTTATTTAATTTATTAGGAAAAGGGGGGAATGGGTTGATATTCCAAGTCAAGTGGGAAAATAATTTAGTTTTTTTTTCCTGGGGAGGCAGAATTCTTATTGTCAGGGGGAAATGCCTTAATTTCATCCACTTTCATCATTATATTCCTGCATCAAGACCAATTTATTGAAATTTATTGAAAAAGCATATATTATTCCATCCTATGCTAGGCTGCACCAGGATGCGTTATATTTTTGTCTTACCAAACAGCTGTCTCCAGAGCATGGTTCTTTCCTTAAGATAGCTTTGTGGTTACATTACCCACAACAGGTAACTTGAATGCAGTAGTACACTGACTAGGGATGTGCATCTGTTTTAAAAATAACTGTATTCCCCCCACGTTTTTCCTTCACTGAGCCCTGCCTCACGTTTGTACACACGCGGCACAAGGGGTTGTGGGCGGCATGTGCTTTTTTCATTCATGAATAACAAAAATACCCAGGAGTCGCATGGGTTTTCCTATTCCCCACCACTAGCTTAGGTAGTATATTCCTAACCAGATACTAAACCTAGGACAGGCAAATATAAACACAGTGGCAGCAGACGAGCAGAAGAGATGCAGGACCAAGAAATCCATTCAAACATCCCAGTGCCACAAGGTGACTCTATGGCAGTGGTTCTCAACCTGTGGGTCCCCAGATGTTTTGGCCCACAATTCCCAGAAATACCAGCCAGTTTACCAGCTGTTTTTGGGAGTTGAAGGCCAAAACATCTGGAGACCTACAGGTTGCAAACCACAAAAATATCCAGGAGTTGCATGGATTTTCTTATTCCCCATCACTAGCTTATGTAGTATAATCCTAACCAGATACTAAACCTAGGACAGGCAAATATAAACACAGTGGCAGCAGACGAGCAGGAGAGATGCAGAACCAAGAAATCCATTCAAACATCCTAGAGCCATAAAGTGACTCTATGGCAGTGGTTCTCAATCTGTGGGTCCCCAGATGGTTTGGCCTACAACTCCCAGAAATCCCAGCCAGTTTACCAACTGTTTCTGGGAGCTGAAGGCCAAAACATCTGGGGACACACAGGTTGAGAACCACAAAAATATCCAGAAGTTACATGGGTTTTCTTACTCCCCAACACTAGCTTATGTAGTATATTCCTTACCAGATATTTAACCTAGGGCAAGCAAATGTAAACACAGCGGCAGCAGATGAGCAAGTGAGATGCAGAACCTGGAAATCCATTCAAACATCCCAGTGCCACAAGGTGACTCTATGGCATTGGTTCACAACCTGTAGGTCCCCAAATGTTTTGGCCTACAACTCCCAGAAATCCCAGCCAGTTTACCAGCTGTTTCTTGGAGTTGAAGGCCAAAACATCTGGGGACACACAGGTTGAGAACCACTGCTCTACGGCAAGACCCATAATCAGTTTCCACATGTGTAATATGGGGATACTTATTCTATCCTATAGTTGGAAGAGACCTCATGGGTCATCAAATCCAACCTTCTGCCAAGAAGCAGGAAAATCACATTCAAAGCACCCCCAACAGATGGCCGTCCAAGCTCTGTTTAAAAGCCTCCAAAGAAGGAGCCTCCACCACACTTTGGGGCAGAGAGTTTCACTGTTGAACAGCTCTCACAGTTAGGAAGTTCTTCCTCAGGTTCAGGTGGAATTTCCTTTCTTGTAGTTTGAAGCCATTTTACTAGCATTTTTTTTTTTTTACAGAATGGTTACAAAGATTGAGACAGAGTTGCTTTGAACACTGACATACTACTTCAAAGATATAAACTCTCTTTCAAAACAGATACTATATCAAGTAAAAACAAGGTATTTTTCAAAAAAAGGAAAGGAAAGGAAATGTCTTACCCGGACGGTGTACGATACCCCGGCTTCCAAACGCGATTCACCCTTGTGTCCGAGATCTTTGTCCAGTTTTGATAGGGTGGCAGAGTCTTCACAGCTCAGCAAGAAACTGTCCCCTTGGAGGTCTGGGTTCGCCTTGGGGGGCTTCTCGTCACCCCGCGAATACGAAGTGGAGAGGCAGGTGGACAAACTGATGTCCGGCAAGGCTGAGCTGGCTGGGACGGTTGTGCATTCTGTGAGCTTGATCTTGGGCACCTCTTTAGTCCGTAGGCAAAAGTTCTTGAAGCTCGGGAGGGCAGAAGGGTTGGCCAGCTTAATGTTAGCCATGCGAGGTATCAGAGTCCCCAAAGCCAGGGAGCTGTTCGGGGTGCCGACGGCAACCTCTTCGATGGGGACATTCGGTGCCGAAGCTGGAGATGATGCCGAGGCTTTGAGGTGCAGAGGACCACCGTGCGCATCTTCTTCCAACGGTGTGACAGACTCATTCCTGAAGCGGCTGTACTTTGCCCTGTGCAGCATCCCTGGGTCTCTTGCCAGTCCTACATACAGTATGTGTCCACTCAGGCTTTGTGGAACGCGTTCTCTCATAGCCTTCCAAGTTCTGTCTCCGGGTGCCCTTCCCTTCCTAAGTCAGCTTCCTTCTTAGGAATGAGAGAAAGAAATAGGGAATTAAGCAAAGCAGAACAATTTTGAAAAGGAAGAAGAAGAGAGCCGGTCGGTTCACCGGCGGTGTCCTCGACGGTTTCTCGAGCGGCTTCCTGCTTGCGATAAACCCGGTTCCGTTATGTCCTGACATCTGGCTCTTTGGAATTAAATCTAAACGAAACACAGATGCAGGTAAAACTAAAGAAAGCTGCAGCTGTTTAATCTGCAAAGCTGTTCTCGGTCGGTCGTAAGATTGGCAAGCCGGCTCTACATTGCCCTCGGCTATGAACACTCACTGCCATATCCCTGTATCGTGAAAGAGCACAGCTCCGTCGGCCGTTAAAAAATGAAATAAAAATAGAGAAACTGTACTTTGTGCCCTGAAAGAGACAGCAGAAGCATCTCCACAACAATGAAAAAAGATTTGTTCCCCTTACAAAAAAAAAGACCCTTTTTCTTTCAATCTTGAACTGCTCTGCTGCAGGAAAATATTGTTAATTTGCAATTTCAATCATAGATGGGGAAATCCCATACGAAATCCTTCTCTAGCTGAGTTAGTAAAAACCTAGATGCCTTAGCACTGAAGTATCGCCCCAAATTAGTCCTCGTAGATTAATGATCCAGCAGATCTGGGCTTCAGGTCTTCCGAAGCATGATCTTATGAATGGAAAGGTTCTCGGGAAACGTCTTTTTTGAGTCATCTGTCGGTTTTCCTCTGTCTCCAGGTCATGGCAGGCTCTTTTCTAGGGAGGATGAGAGAAGAGAATGTTGCCGATTTTATGAATGAAGTTTTCTGAATGAATTTCGCTGTGTGCAAGCTCAATAAATCTGTGAATGGAGCCGAGAATGGCTGGAACTGACTGACAATCCCAGGGGTGTTCAATCCTCAGCCAATCAGGAGGAAGCCCAGTGACTCATGCACCATAAATATACTAAACTAGTAGCCATGCGAAATGTGACTTTTTGGCGAAGGGGGCAGTTCTTAATGTACTGCTAGGTAGTGAATGGATGGAGACATCAATCATTACCATGCCAATAGATCTAATTCATTCTGTTGAGGGGAGGGGAGGGGGGAAGCAAGCAGCATGTAGCTGTGTGTGAGTATGTGCATGTGTGCTGTTATTTCTGCAATGCAGCATGAGAGGCTTGGAAAAAGGGGGGTGAAGGGGAGAAGAGAAAATATTTTCCACGATGTGGCTTGCGATTCTGGAAGCGGTGATGCACTGTTTTTAGAAACCGGGCCTCTCTTTATTGACTCCCTGCTCGATATCTAATGGCACTTCCTGTGCCGATCAAATTTACTCTGAAGGCACAATAAAAACTGCAAAGGAGTGAGCACACAGGAAGCGGAGATCTGAGTAGGCAATACAATAAAGTACATCGCATCCTCTCTCGTACTGCAAACCATTAGGGAGGAATTCAAAACTGTAACAAGCAGAAGGGGATGCTCTGAGGTTTTAATGCCCCTTGTTATAAGCGCGCCGGGGACGCTTTGATTTGGTGCTGGAGGGGAAAAATAGAGCTTTATTTAATTATATGCATAGGGGCTTTCTTTTCCATGTCTATTTTTATTTTGCATGTTCTACAGCAGTGGTTCTCAACCTTCATAATGCCGTGACCCCTTAACACAGTCCCACATGTTGTGGTGACCCCCAACCATAACATTGTTTTGTTGCTACTTTATAACAGTCATTTTACTACTGTTATAAATCATAATGTAAATGTATTGTCGAAGGCTTTCATGGCTGGAATCACTAAGTTCTTGTGGGGTTTTTTCGGGCTATATGGCCATGTTCTAGAGGCATTTCTCCTGACGTTTCGCCTGCATCTATGGCAAGCATCCTCAGAGGTAGTGAGAGAAGCCATTGAAATACACAAACATGTGGACAATTTCAACAGAAAGGAGGAAACCATGAAAATGAACAAGATCTGGCTACCAGTATTAAAAAAATCTAAAACAGCAGAGAGGAAACAGGCAGGGACATCTAATTACCTTTCAAGAAGAGTTTGCTCCAGGCACAGTCAGCCCATTGTATGCTAATCAAGGTGGTCAGTTGAAAGATTCACACCTAGCCCAACTTAGAAAAGCCCTTTGTCTCACCCTGGTCATTCCACAGATATATAACCCCTTTTTCCCAGTTCCAACAGACCTCACCTCTGAGGATGCTTGCCATAGATGCAGGCGAAACGTCAGGAGAAATGCCTCTAGAACATGGCCATATAGCCCGAAAAAACCCACAAGAACTTCATAATGTAAATATCAGATATGCAAGATGTATCTTCATTCACGGGACCAAACTGGGCACAAATACCCAATGCACCCACATGTAAATGCTAGTGGGGTTGGGGGAGGATTGATTTTGTAATTTGAGAGTTTGTAGTTGCTGGGATTTATAGTTTATTATTTATTTATTTCGTGTACTTCTACCCCGCCCTTCTCAACCCCCGAGGGGGGACTCAGGGCGGCTTACAAAAGGCACAATTCGATGCCTACACAATAATACAGATAAACGTATAAAACAGCAATTAAAACAGTTATAGCAGTTAAAACAATCAATATATAACATAGTCAATAAACTAATCTCATGCTCAGCGTTCGCCACTCAGAGTCCATAACTTCATTCCACTTTGTCCATTCTTATCAGTCGTCATAGTCCTTTATTTATCTGCCAGATTGTCCAAACGCCTGGTCCCAAATCCATGTTTTTAATTTCCTCCTAAAGGAAAGGAGGGATGTCGCCGATCTAATTTCCCCGGGGAGTGAATTCCATAGGTGAGAGGCCACCACCAAGAAGGCCCTGCTCCTCCTTTCCATTACCAAGTCCCACAAGCACTTTATTAAAGCCAAGATCGCTGCACACTGCACACTGCACTTGTCCATAAGCCTCATTTCCACCTGTCACATCAGCACTTTTAACCCTTGTACCCTTACTCTGGCCCGGCCCAGTTTTATTGTGTCTTAATGGATTGTTCATTGCTTGTTGTTTTAGATTGCTTTAGTTATTTTAATTTGCTTAGGTTTGTATTGTTGTATTGTATTGTTGGCCTTGGCCTTTGTAAGCCGCATCGAGTCCTGCAGGAGATGCTAGCGGGGTACAAATAAAGTTTAATAATAATAATAATAATAATAATAATAATAATAATAATAATCCCCGCCAATCCCACTTGTGATAGAGGCGGGGCCGAGAGCAGGGCCTCCCCAGAAGATCTTAGACTCCAAGGTGGGACGTAGAGGGAGATCCGTTCGGACAGATACGCTGGGTTATAGTTCACCTATAATCAAAGAGCATTCTGAACTCCACCACCAATGGTCTTTGGCGACCCCTCTGACACCCCTACGGGACCCCCTCAGGGGTCCCGACCCCCAGATTGAGAAACATTTTGCCACTCAGAAGTCGCATGACCAACAGAAAACACTGGAAGGGTTTGGTAGGCATTGACCTTGAGTTTGGGAGTTGTAGTTCACCTATATCCAGAGAGCACTGTGGACTCACGCAATGGTGGATCTGGACCAAACTTGGCACAAATACCCAATATGTGCAAATGTGAACACTAGTAGAGTCTGAGGAATATAGACCTTGACTTTTGGGAGTTGTAATTGCTGGGACGTATAGTTCACTACACTCAAATAACATTCTGAACTCCTCCAATGATAGAATTGGCTCAAACTTCCCACATGGAATCCCCATGACCCTCAGAAAATACTGTGCTTTCTGATGGTCTTTGGCGACCCTCTGACATCCCTTCGTGACCCCCTCAGGGGTCCCAACCCTCAGATTGAAAAACACTGTTCTACAGTGAGCAATCTCGATAAAATAGTAAAAAGTAGAGACATCACACTGGCAACAATGATCCGCATAATGTCGAAGGCTTTCATGGCCGGAATCACTGGGTTGTTGTAGGTTTTTCGGGCAGCATGGCCATGTTCTAGAAGCATTCTCTCCTGATGTTTGGCCTGCATCTATGACAGGCATCCTAAGAGGTTGTGAGGTCAGATGTGCTGGATTCCTCTTCCTGCGCCAGAAGTGTAGAATAACCATGACTGGTCAGAGCTGATGGGAGTAGTAGTCTAGCAGTTACTATACTCCCAACTCAAAAATGAGAAACATAACATTGGTGGACAGTTTAAGGGGTTGCAATTGTCATTGCTGTCACCTCTCCTCAAAAGTCAACATAGACACTGAAATACAACACCGCCTGAGCTCTGCGAGTGCAGCATTCTTCTGAATGAAGCAGAGAGTGTTTGAGGACTGGGACATCCGTAGGGATACCAAGGTGCTTGTTTATAAAGCTATTGTCCTCCTAACCCTGTTATACGCCTCTGAAACATGGACTGTCTACAGATGTCACACTCAACTTCTGGAATGATTCCATCAGCTGCCTCCGAAAAATCCTGCAAATCTCTCGGGAAGACAGTCAGACAAATGTCAGCATGCTGTAAGAAGCACAGACCACCAGCACTGAAGCGATGCTCTTATGCCATCAACTCCACTGGACTGGCCATGCTGTCCGAATGCCTGAGCACTGTCTCCCAAAGCAGTTACTATACTCCCAACTAAAAGAAACAGAAACATAATGTTGGTGGACAGGAAAGGAGACTTAAAGATAGGTTTAAAGCCAACCTTAAAACTGTGGCATCGACACCAAGAACTGGGAAGCCCTGGCCTTTGAGCACTCTAACTGGATGTCAGCTGTGACCAGCAGTGTTGCAGAATTTGAAGAGGCATGAATGGAGGGCAAAAGGAAGAAATGTGCCAAGAGGAAGGCGCGTCAAGCCAACCCTGACCAGGACCACCTTCCACCTGGAAACCAATGTCCTCACTGAAGGAGAAAGTGTGGATCAAGAACAGGGCTTCACAACCACCTATGAACCCACTGCCAAAACACTAGATTTGGAGGACCATCATCCTCAGGCTACAAAGGATTGCCTAAGAAGAAGTCTAGCCTATCCACCAGGTTGGGGAAGGCCAAGTGGTGTCCTGTTTTGCTCCAGAAACAGCCTTAGAACAAGGGTTAACGCAGCGGTTCTCAACCTGAGGGTCAGGATTCCTAGGGGGGTTGTAAGGTGGTGTCAAAGGGGTTGCCAAAGACCATCCGAAAACACAGTATGTTTTGTTGGACATGGGGATGAACTACAAATCTCAGCAACTACAACTTCCAAATGCCAAGTCTATTTTCCCCAAACTCCACCAGTGTTCACATATGAGCATATTGAGTATTTTAGGCAAATTTGGTCCATATCCATTGCCTGAGTCCACAGTGCTCTCTGGGTGCAGGTGAACTACAACTCCCAAACTCAAGGTCAATGCCCACAAACCCTTCCAGTATTTTCTGTTGGTCATGGGAGTCCTGTGTGCCAAATTTGGTTCGATTCCATCACTGGAGCAGGTCAGAATGCTCTTTGATTGTAGATGAACTATAAATCCCAGCAACTACAACTCCCAAATTACAAAATAATGTCAAGGGGAATATCTTTACTTTGCAACCTATGTGCCTCAATGATCAGGCACATGCCTGGCAAGCCCATTATACAGTTGCAACACCTACAGCAAAACATATTCAAATGCTACTCTGCTTTAATGTGGTATCAATGGTGCCACATGTGCGACTCTGCTTCCTCCCCACACACACACATACACACACAGAGTCAGCTGGATGCAACCATTGTTCCCCACCAACCACTCCACATGCCGAGCACAACTTACGCCTCCACACGCGACTAATAGCATGCTAGCTTTCCATTAAAACCTGAAGAGCCTTCTCCAGTTTTCAGTATAGCTGTCTTCTTCGAGTCCTATATGCAACAGGGTATGACTTTGGTCCAACACCTTCGTGCAGTTT